TTTTATGTTCTTTATTTTCTATAATTCTATAAAAGTGTCGTTTTCCAAAAAACAAATATGGGGTTGTAGGGCTTAACATTCCCTACAACCCCATATATATTTTTTTATCTTTTATTTAATTCAGGAAAATTATGTCAAGATCACGTCCGCACAGCGGACCAGGCCAGCCGCGGACGCTGCCTCATATATGTGGCAGGAGTCCGAGATTGACCCCGCGGACGCGTCCACGGGTGTTTCATAGCCCATAGTGCAATTATAACTCATTTTTGCGACTCCCTCATAGTTTCCCCTTATTTATTAATCCACCAATACCTACCGGTTGTTAAGGCCCGTGGCTTAGCCTACCGGTAGGCCGAACCTTCCCCAGCCTCGAGCTAACGGTAGCCGGCGGTAGGTACATATCAAAAAAAAAGAACACATGCTGAGGGGGGAGTAGTGTGATGATCCGTCCATACATGGACTGAAACGCACAACTGATTTCTGAGTTTTGCCCATAGACTGAATGCCCTGCTGAGTTTCCCACTTGCTACTAAGTCTGTGTGTGCACGCTTGCTGGACTGCATGTCTGTCTAAGTGCTGGATGGCCTGAGTGTGTGTGTGACCATGCCTGTCTGAGTGTTGGTTGGCTTGGATGTGTGTGACCGTGCCTGTCTGAGGGCTGGTTGGCATGAGTATGTGTGTGGCCCATCAGGGCACTTGCTCGTTCGTTGGGCCCTCAGGGCCGGTACTTGCCTGTGGCCGTGACATTGAGGGGTTGCAGCGGGGAAAAACACTCAAGTTGCGGGTAGGCCGGTACCGCACCTGGAAGGGGTAGATGTGCAGGTACCGGAGGCCGAGCAGAAGAAGACAAAAGTCGCATTTTTAGAGGCCCAGTAGTTGTAGGTTAGGTCTAGGCGGATATCAGTCTAGCCAGTCTGGGTCTAGGGCCTGTATGAGCAATATCAGAGTTTGCAATGATGTTTCCCTCCGATAGGGAGAAGGTACCGGTTGCTTGGGAGGCCAAGCGGCCTGGAAGTCACCGCCCAAGAGGCAAAGCAGGCCGCTATATCTTTTGGCCGGGCGGAGAGTCCGGCCTCTTTTTCGGTGTGCAAGTTTGGCGACACACTGGTGGAGCGCTGGTTGGAGCAACGCTAAGCTGGAGCAGCGCTGCTGGGGAGGAAGGAGAAGGACATGAGGGAGGAAGAAGGAAGAAAGGGGGAGGAGCGCCAGGGGTGCTTACCTGGCTATGGTGGCAGCCATCTTCATCACCTTGGTGGGCGCTGCGGCAAGGAGTCCCCAACCGGGGAGAGACACACCAAGAAGCTTCAAGGCAGGGTTGGGCATGGTGGACTGAGCTTGAGCAGCCATAGCTGCTTTGGGTTGTCCTTTGGGCACCTGGGCAAGGCCTAGTAGTCCGCCATAGCCTCGGCTTATGAGAGTGAAGAGTGGGGAGGCGGCCATGGCTATGGTGGACCTCAAGTGATACCTGCAGTAGAAGAGGGACTCGGACATTGATTCTGGATCAGTCATTCAACATCGTATTATTATTTCTTGTATGAATAAGAGAAGGGGGAGATAAGGAGGAGGAGATTGTTGGGCGAAGAAGAAGAGCCTTGTCATTGTCTTTGCTGGTGTACATCTTCTTCTTCTTCTCTCTTACTTCTTCTTCTTCTTCTTCTTCTTCTTCTTCTTCTTCTAATCCTCTCTCTCTCCTCTCAAGTTCATTCATTTCTTTCTGCAATTGGATGGCATTGTACTTTCCGGTGGATGTGTATCTCGAAATTGGCCAGGATCATAACACACGCCTCTTCCCATTAGGGCTGGAAGAGCCTCAACCACTGCTCCCCTGGAGAGAGATTCCCTGCATAACACAAATATAGTCAAATTACAAGGCATTGATTGCTTCCCCGGTGGGGAAGGATTAACCCCGCTTTGTGCTAAATCAAACTCTACCCTACTCGCCTCCTCAATTATCCACTACAATCTTCTGCACAGTG